GTTAGCCCCTGAGTGCTCAAACCGTACATGATTGCCCTCGCACTGGAAAAAATTGTGCATATTATGGATATTATTCGCTTTGTCTTCCCGATGTCTCTACTTCAGATCAAGATTCCTCATTTGGACCTCTGCTTTGGCTTTGTTTGTAATGCAATTTCTTTGGCTCGGACGTTGTCATTCTGCAAAGCACGAAAGGCCTTCCACTTGTAATTTGTTCAACTCTTGGATCTCCCTGTTATTGTCATCAAACCTGTCTTGATGTTTTCTGGTAGAGCATCCAAGGGTCTCTTCACAGGTGTTGATGAATATAGTCTTTATGCTTTTCCACGCACTGTTGTCACTCTCCGAATGATGTTAGTTGTAATTTTACAGTTTATTTTTTGAAGTACTGGTGAGAGGTATCTTTTGATGGTGTACTTGAGCCCCTTGACCTTGACCTGCGAATCCACAGTTCGCATTGCTTCTGCCATAATTTGGGAGCCAGTTTTATGGACATGACCAAGTAGATGAGTCGGTGATCAGACCATCAGTCGTCAGCTCCTGGCATAGCTTGGGTGATGCCTTGTATGTTTTGTATTGCTTGCACTGTGTTGATGTTTGATGTTCGTAAATTTGACGTTGTGTAGTGATCGTCCCACGCAACCCCTGGGACTATAGAATAGGGCAGCGCTACTTGCCAAAGACCGAGAAGCGCCTATCAATCAGGAAGGGTGGAGTATACACTTCACGCTCTGATTGGTTAGGGCACGGGGATCAAGATAATTGGCTGGAATGTTCATAAGGGAAAAGAGCAGGAAAGTTGGGTGACAGAGGGACGGTTATATCAGGCGAGGGTACGAGATGAGGATTGGTGGAGAGGGCGTGAGACAAGGGGCGGAGCGAGGAATAGGTTAAAAGGGAGAGCAGGAGGATGGGCTCGGTGCGTTGTGAGAGAAAGCGAGTGAAGAAGTTGTGGATCTGTGCTGTGGAATAAAGAACCAGGTAGACAAAAAGACAGCTAGAATCTTCTTTCACATTTGAAGTGACTGACTTGGAGACGTAATTTATTGGAGGCAATTCTTTAATTAAAACCCAAGCACACTGTTTTGCACACTCTCTGCTGTTACAAAACCCTGTCACTCGCTTAAACACAACTCTAGACTAGTTGATAGCCCACAACACAACGCTAGCCGTCTGACACTGATCTAAGACAGCCAACTACTGCTAGCAGCGCAATTATTAACTGGACAACGACAGCAACAAAGGCACGAGACGATAGAGGCGAAGGTGACAGCAGCGACAACGATGACGAGGGGATTCCACTCCAAACGATGGCCCCGATCCCCTGCTCGGGGTCCCCTTTATACCTGTTAGCGTGACCACGCTATGCCTCGGCCATGTGCCCCCTCTATCACCTTTCCCCTCCATCCCTCTCTCTCACTTACCATGTTACCTGCTGACAGACAGGGCTGCTACAACTGCAGATCCCCTTCTCTGCCAGCAACCCGCGCTATGCTACATAGTGGCTTATTCAATATCACTACACCATATTCAGGCATAAGAATAGCCTTCAGACCTCATGGTGCCACCCTCAATCACACCAGCGGCATTTACTGAACTACATGATTGTTAGGAAGCTTGACAGCACGGAAGTCCGCATCACTCGTGCCATGATCAATGCAGACGATTGATGGGCTGATCACAGACTAATTTGATCAGGTCATCGTCTAAAATTAGTATTAGCCAATGGGGTTTACCTGTGCCAAAATAAATCTCACCTAACCTAAGTTCTAAGTGCTCAATCTCATCAACATATTTAATGATCCTGTACTGTAACCCTGAATCCAGAGAGTATAACTTTTGGACTTGGACTTTGACATTTGTATTATTATAATTTCGTTCAGTGGAGTGTTATCAACAACAGTGCATTCTTCCTGCTGGGAGTTGTGGATTAGACATCTGAGTACTCGACTTGCCTGACTTATAATCCTCAAACATTATGGTATAGAAATACAATGTAACCATGTATTATCAGGAAACACATACAGTGTATATGAAACTAACGTGCAATAAATATTCATTTATAGAATGGAGAGTTTATTGAATACATATGTAGTGATGTATATTAAGTCAGAATGGCGTTTAGTGCCAGCTACTGAGATAAGAGGGGAACTGTGCATGTTAGAGTCTCTTTCTGGCACCAGAGGGTGTATGGCATGGAAGGGGACCCGAGGGGGTATGGTCCTGGAGACAGTCAGAGAGAGGGCACTGCAGGACGTGACAGCTGGGTGAACCCGAAAGGGCACGTGACTAGGAGAGGGTAGCGAGGGGGACCAAAGGTTAGCGAGAGGGACACGTGATGTGTGGCCCAGAACCTTCTCGTAAGGTCCAGAAGGGGGCGTGGCCGAGGGCGGAGCCAGGCCACGCTCAGGTGCATGAAAGGGAGGTCACGAGAGCCAATCCAGCCTGTCTTCTGGAATAGAACCCGTCGGTGCTACGTCTCTTTGATCCTTGGTCCTCAGTCTTTGGTCTTTCTGCTCGGCATCGTGGGTCAGGCAGTGTGTTACTGATTGACCCGGTTATGTCGTTACCCCGTTGTGGTCTAGTTACTCATGGTGGTTATCACCTATGTCGTTATCCAGTACTTTATGCAGTTACCCCGTTGTGGTCTTAGAATAAACGTGTTTCCTCCATAGTCTAGTGTGTGTTTCCGTGGAACCCACTACACATAGTTTATTGCGTGTGATTGCTGACTGACTGTGGTGTTTGCATGACAAGGCAAATGAGGAAGTTTCGGTCAATACAACTGACTTTTTCCATTAGTCTTGTGCTCTCAGGATAGACCCTCAGATTGACCCTGACTGTGAGGCTATCGAAAAGTGGGCATTGCTGATATAGGGAGGAGCTTCCAGCTCGCCACGTGTCCCGGTTGAGCCAAAAATGTTTAAGTGATATTAATACCTTCATACTCCTCTGTTATTAATTCTACTAATGCATTAAATGATTTTGTTTTTAATCTAATTCTAAACCTTTCATTCAGATAATGAAGAGCTGAATAACCAATTAACTCAGGAGAAGCAGAACAACAATGAGAAACAGTCAAAAATTACCAGGCTGGAAGAAGAAGCGAAGGTGAGATTTATATTTCTCTGGAAAGGTTAATAGACGAAATGTAAGTTTTTATACATATATGGGCACTCAAAAGAAAGTTCTGTTTGTGTATGGTAACACTCATAATGTTTATTGTAATGCATGAAGAGTTTGTAGAAAGTGTTTTAATGCTTTCCAACTTAGGCTGAAAGCATTAATGCATTTGCTTTTCCGACTAAATTAAGTGGGAATACAATAACTTGTAAAGGCGATCCAATTTGACTTACATTACATTATAACATTGTGTTTCCCAAAACCTCGAGTTAAAATAAGTGCTAAAACTATTTGCCTCGGAATCTGTGACCATCATCTTGATGTCATCTTGTGAAATCACAGGCCATGTCCTGTTTGATACGATATCAATGTATGACCTTATGAAGTTGAAACTCCCCTCACTGAGGCTATCGGATCGTGTAGCCAGTGCCACATAATTTGAGTACACAAACTTACAGAATGAGGTTTGGGTATATCGCTCGTCTATAAATTGAATAATGTGATTAATGCACAGTGTAAGGTGTACTGATTTGTTGGGCCAATTCTACACGCATCCTTAAGTTGCTGAGCATATTCCATCGTAGCCACTGCGCTATGATTTGAGTGTGAGGAAGCGAGACTTTCCGAAAACTCTATCCACAACTGGTATTATGATGTTGCATGCTGGAAAACGTGGGTTGTGACAGGGGTACATTGGGTATATTGGGTTGTTTGTACATATTCACAATGATAAGCTGAGTAATTTGCACAGGTATGGTGGTTGTCTGTCATATTACTGTTGGTGGCAGGTTGATGAAATTGGCGATGTCATGTCTTAGCTAGATAGCCAGAGCATCATTTGAGTATGTACTTGTTAGCAGCTTGCAGCTCTATATTTCATAACAACATTATTGTACTCACAGAAAATGTGGAAACGTGCGTTTCTTTTAATCTGAGGAAGTCAAAGTCTTAAGTACCATCACAATATGCTCCCAATTTGTCAGGAAATGCCATCAACGTTGTGTTGACAAATCTGTATATCCGGGTAGATTTTCATGGAAGGTTTGGCCGTAATAAGATATTTAATTATGGCTGAAAAAGCTGTTTACTGACCAAAAGGTCAATAATTGACTTTGGTCGCCATTTTTATGATCATTGGGGTTTTCCACATAACGTGGCGGGCTGCCAGAAGACTATCAGAATTCCACCCTGTCATCTTCATAGTTTATTCCATTTGACATAATAACTCATGATGCTCACAATGTTGTCAGATCTCAGAAGTCCAACAGCATTGAGCCTGGAAATGTATTTAATGGATGACAGGGCACAAACATATTGTCTTGGGCTCCCATATGAATGTTCTTGACTTCACTAACACTCACCGTGTAGCATAGTGAAGCAGGTAAACTAACTCCCATAATCTGCAGGACTTAGGAAAGTCCTTATCCAGGAGTGGAGTGATCATAGGGCTGTACATGACCACTATTGGATTTGCCCATTGCTACATACAACACCTAAATTTGGGAAATAATTGATATGTAGTGTTTAATTATATTATAAAAATAATTAGATTATCAATAGATTTCGATTGTTTGGCTGCTATACATTGCCACATAAGCCACTTCGTTGAACTATCATTTGTGGCCCCTTTAAAAAGAGCTAATAGCTCAGTGGGTTTTAGGGGCCATCAAATTTAGTATGTACGCATGGAGGGAGGAGGGGTTAACCCAAACGCGTACGCTTGCATATCGGGGGTCTACTGACAATGTACGTGCGCATAGAAAACGGGGGGGGGGGAGATGAAGCCTCGATAATAATTAATTTTCCTACATTGGCCTTGCTGTGACGAAATTCCTATAATACGTAACCTGTTTGACTGAGTTCAGTTGGCGTTTGAACCTAGCGGACACTAGACAAACTTTTTAAAGGTACGCAACTTAATTCTTTACTGCAGCCGGCGGTGGATTATCTGTTTGCTTAAACACGTTAATAGTATTAATCCTTGATCGTTTCTGCGTGGATTAAATTTCGGCCATTCTATTCGGGGGGGGGGGGGGGTGCGTCAAGCTTACATACGCAGGTGGGGGGGGGGTGTAAAAAGTACGCGTGCGTACATGAAGGGGGGAGGAGTAAAGTTGACAGATTTTTGCGTATGTAGTAAATGGATGGCCCCTTACCTGGTAAGATAAAAATTTTGTTTTAGTTAATTGAAGATTGCTATTTTTAAGTGTATAAAACATTCTGGCACGTCCACTGAGCAATGAGGAAGATGACACCGATGTTTAGACTCAGATTAAAAACAAAGTAAATAAATTAATATTTTTGCATGATGGAAACATTTTCTATCATAGAGAGCATAATGACCGATGGAAATGTCTACTAAAGCTTACTGAAAGGGAAATGATAATGATTACGTACTTCAAATAATCTGTAAACAATAGACATAGAGGAGTTAATTTAGACGTAAACATTACACGAACTTAATTAGATATACAGAGATCAGCTCATCAGAGATGTCCCTCTCCTCAGCAATTTCAACACCAAATGAGAGCTGTCCCCGAGCGAGGGACCGCTTATGCGTGGTGTTGCATAATACAGTAGACGAAGTGCGGTGTTTTCAAGATTAACTTTAGAATAATGTCGGATAAAACCAACCCTGTGGCTGGTTCCTCTCAATGTAGACTTAAGAAAGCAGTGTTTCCCCTTAAATGGGGATTTACTGTCAAAGCATTTTTACATCTTACGAACATTTATACTGAAGGAATTGTTAGAGTATTCTAACTGTTCTAATGAAGAAATTGTTACTTAACTCTATTCGTTCTAATATATAGAGAATTCGAACCTTTCTAATAAAAAAGTCGCATTCAATACACTGCGGCCTTAAAAGAAAAACATATGCAATAGGTGCCATGTCTGGAAATGTCCCTTCATAGCATATTTCTAATACAATTTTTACACAGTATTTTACTTGCACATAATTGTCCGTATTATCTTTTGCATTGTTAATTGCCCTCGATTACAGATATATGGATGGATAAAGAGAATGTATACATACTTGAACACAAATTAGAAAAGCAGTAAAACGGTTATTTATACTTCAGGTATCTGTGTTGAATACCATTGTTATTTCACTTTATGCTGATTTCATTGCATTATGGTTAATTTTCAGTCACAAACGAAACACGCAGAAGAACTGAAAAACAAAAATCATTCGCTTGAGGTAAGAGATAAAATCACGACGAACCAAGCACGATGAACAAGTTGAACATACTTAACAACCCACAAAGATGGGCATTGCATTTTTTTTGCAAAGACAAATTTTCGGTTGTGCATGAGACTGAGTAATGGATATCAATTTGTGTTGTTAAATTAACTTGTATTCCGGCCTGCACTATTTTTGTTGTGACGGTTTTACCTATCACATACAAATGATAATTTTAAGTTGGAGTCATATAAATTACTAAATGTGTCTTAAAATGAGCAAGTAAACAAATAAGGGACTAGATTTTTACAGTTTTTTTAATATAAAATATTACGTCACCCCGACTCAAGATGGTGGCAAAACAGTGTACACACAAATTCAAAGATGAAATAGGAATCAATGAGGAAGTAGTGAGTCCTGCATTCCCTCCTAAACACACTGAGACTCGGAGCGCACCAGACTGCAGCTGGCAAGGCATTCAAGGTCCTAGGAGCAACACTTGCAAAGGTGCAGCCACCCAGATTTGGGTGCAAGATCCGTGGCTGGGAGAGTCGGCCCTTTTCTGATGATGGCAGCACATAGGCCCCAGTCGCATGAGGGACCAACTGGACCCACAGGTACGTGGGTCCAAGACATGAATAACTCTATAGGCTAAAATATCCAGCATGTACTCGATATAGAATTTAGCTGGAAGCCAGTTCATATAGCCGAGAGTGGGATTAATACAGTACAAGGAGTCCTCATGTTACACACACTCACACTAACACTAACGAGCCAGCTTCAATGAAATAGTATTTTTTTTCATCGACCTAAAACGCGAACTTGCACTTGCAAACTGAACTGTGGAACTATTTTGTTTAGTGGAGCAATCCTCCGCGAGATGTAATCAGTCAGTATTTGTGTGTGTCTGTGTGCGCGTGCACGTGTGTGTGAAAGTGAGCATGTGTGTGTGAAAGTGAGTGTGTGCACTGGTTATATTCTCCTAATGGCGTTTGTAGCCACCACAGCGGCCAAATGGGGGCTCCAGTTGGGTGCAAGGGGCTAGTAACCCCTCTACCTTCGAATGAATTACGATTCCACGGAAAATAAATCAAACGAAGCTTGTGCCGTAGGTCCCGAGGGGACAGGCATCTATTACGTCTCCTGGCCAAACCCCATTTGTCGGAGTCAGGAGACTGAAACCTTACCCTCAGGATTCTTTCAGAAGCAGCAAAATGCCACTACGGGTGGCCAGGTGGAATGTTCGAATGCTCACTGCGGAGGAGAGGTTGCCACTCCTCTGTCGGGAGCTGGACCGGTACCACCTAGATCTCTGTGGTATTCAGGAGGTCCGGTGGACCGGCTCTGGCTCCTGTCAGCAAGACGGTGGACAGTCCTCTACTCGGGGCAGGAGACTGCCAAACAAAAGGGAGTGGCTCTTATTCTGAACAAAACAATGAAGGTAGTGTAGGGGCGTGGTGATGACGTGTGGAAAGCTGGAAGCCCCGGGCTACTTTGGGCTTGCCTTCCCGTCAACCAGAGTTGAGGAGTGGTGGTCATGGTTACCTATGCACCCACGGAAGATGAACATCAGTGGAGGGATGCAGGCAAAGCCGATGAGTCAGATGCCTTATATGACCTCCTGTCACAGGTGCTAGCTAAAGTGGCTTCTCGGGATAGAGCCATCCTCTAGGGTGACTTTAATGCCCGAGTTGGTTATGACGATGGCACCTGGTCTGGAGTGACTGGAAGGCATGGGCCAGATCAGCTCAATATCAACAGTGGGAGGCTGCTAGACTTTTGCGCAGCCCATGGGCTTGTAATTACCAACATGCTGTTCTGGCATCGGCGCATCCACACAACATCATGGATGCATGCTGGGTCCAAGTGTAATGTGGCTCTCAGAGACACCGTCTTGTTCCTTAATGTATATTTATTATGAATAAAGTCCGCTGACAACTTAACAAGTGACTACACACACTTGGGTAATTTAAACGTCTTGGGCACAACATAACTCTAACCCTTCAATACTACTCGGTGCCCACTCCAAGACGATGAAGACGACCTGTTCCAAGGTGACGACGGCGATGACGATTCCCCACAACAACCACTCCCAGATCCGGTCTGCACCAGTTCTTATCCCTCTCAGGACCCGGCCACGCCCCTATTCTCGAACTCTCCCTTACCGCACCTGGCCCTGTTTCTCTGCCCTTATTACCATTTACGAATGTTGGGTCCCGTGTTTCCCCTCTTGTGATCCTGTCAACACTTGTCCGATCAATCATTATTAGTAACCACTTAGGTCCCACATTACCTTGATATTACCCTGTCAATTCCCGTTACGATAATTAGTAACCATGGTCCCGGAGAGACGTACTGTCCCCATATCACCCGTACTGTCCTTACACAAGCAATAACATCTGCTGGACTATATAGTGATGGAACAGCGGATGCAGGCCCATGTCCTTGATACCAGAACCTGAGCTGATCTGCCCACTGACCATCGATTTGTCATCTGTAAGATGTGTCTACATTCTTACACTTCGGTGGTGGGTGTACACCCAGGAACCCATTCAAACCAATAGTACCCTGGTCTCAGCTTGCTAATGAAAGTTTCAAGCGAGAATTTCATCGACACTTGCAGCTGGGGTTGGCATCATCCCCCACTCCTCCGGATGTCGAGGGGAAATAGGCAAGTTTTTGGTCTGTGGCTCATGCAGCTGCAATGGCAGCTTTGGGTACACGGTCCGGACCTCCCCAGAGATCCTAGCTGACAGAAGAGGTGTTCAGGCTGGCTGAGAAAAAACGACAGGCCCACTCTCATTGTCTACAACATCCCTCATCAGAGAATGAGGAGGCTTACCACAGCCTCCGCTCAGAGGTTCGGAGGGCCGTTAGGCGCTGCAAGGATGGGTGGTGGTTGCAGGTTACTGAGGAGATGGAGTCTGCCTCAGTGGCCAGCGATCACAAATCACTATTTGATTCCTTTAAAAAGTAACTTGTAGTGCCACACCTATCACTATCATTATGGGAAATAATGGTGCTACAATCTCTGACCCCCAGGAACAGGTTTGCAGATTTGCTGAACATTTCTGAGCTCTTGGGGGAAGGGAAAATCCCTCAGCCTGGTTAAATATTATGGGGCAAAGTGGGAATGACCCTGCTGAAGCTGATGTGCCTCAAATTCTGGAAGAAGTAGTCACCCCCTGTGAGTGGCTGGCTGAGGTGCCATCTGTAGAGAAGTACAGAAGGCGATCCAGAGTCTGAGACCAGGAAAGACACCGGGTAGAGATGATCTCCCAAACATAATACTGAGAGTGGGTGGCATTTGTGCACAGACTGCCCTACATGACATAATAATAACAGTCTGTACCACTGGATGGGTTCCGCATGATTGAAAGGATGCCCTGGTGGTCCCACTCTTTAAGAAGTGGGATCGCACAGACTGTAACAACTGCAGGGGCATCTCACTCCTCAGTATGCTGGGAAAAGATCCTGGCATGCTGAGGACAGGCTTGCAGAGCCCCAATGTGGGTTTCAGGAAAAGGCGGTCCTGCACAGATGCTTTTGTGCTTTCGGAGTCCCTGACTATCTGCTCGTGATAATTAAGGACCTTCATGATGGTGAGCGGGCCCGGGTAAAACTACATGGCCAGGAGTCCGAGCCATTCCTTGTTCACCTTGGGGTGCGACAGGGATGTCCTCTGGCTCCCACATTATTTACATCTATTTTGACCACGTAGTTCATGAAGCCTTCGATGGCTGTGCTATAGGAATTTCCATCTGGTACAGATACAAAGGGAGGCTGCGCGATGTCCGGGTGTGGTCACGGGATGGCTCCCTATTGTTTAACCATGTTATGTATGCCGATGATTGGTTAATTGCTGCTCACTCAGAGGAGGAGTAGGAGGTACTGCTGCTGAACCTAGAGCGTGCCACTAAAAGGTGGGGCATTACCATCAGCCCCACCAAAACTAAGCACCTGCCTGGGTATCTTGTACCATCAGACCATCCACCCCCACAACTCCCAATTGGTGATGGGGCTGCTGTGGAGAGAGTGGAGAGTTTCCCATACCTGGGCAGTGTGCTCATGCCTGGCTACGATTTGACAGCAGAGGTCTCCTTCCGAATCAGATCAGCGTTATATTTTAATCGGTTGCTTAATGTTGTGTGGAAGCTCCCTGATCTGTCACTCCACACAAACCTTTAGGTCTTCTCATTCACAGTCATGCCCTCCCTTCTCTATGCTTGCGAAATGTGGACCCCCCTAATGCAACATCTTCGCCGTATAGAAACATATAGGTTGGCCTTCATACGATACAACCTTTGTTTAACCAGGCTGGATTTTGTGAGGAGCTCACAACTCCTTGAAAGTTCTGGACAAAGTGCCATCGGTGAGCCCCTCTGGCAGGCAAGGCTGCGTTGGCTGGGTCATGTAGCCCGCATTCCCAGCCACCGCATGCCTAAACAGCTTTTGTTCGGCTGGATCAAGGGGGCGAAACAGGCGCGGCACGGGCCAAATCAGAGATTGAGTGATGTGGTACAGGAGGACGTGGAGCTGAGTGGACTTGCTGATGACTAGGACCATCGATGTAAAGATCGGCCTCTGTGGAGGAGGCACGTGAAGGATGCTACTGAGCAGTTAGAGGCAGTTGCCCTCCAACAACAACGGAGGGCGGAGGAGCGATGCTCACAACAATTAGCAGAACGCCGGGTGGCTAAAGCACAGCAAGTTCGCACAGTAGGGAGGAAAGGTGGTGCATTGGCCAGTCATCTCAGCCAGTTGACCCGTGGCACCTGGGTCTGCCCCGTGACCTCCTCCAAGTGGGCGTTCGACACTTCACGTAGTCTCAATGGGCAGATCGTCTGGCACAAGCGCCGTGGTGATGTCACCGCCACTTAGTGTCGAATGTTGTTGTGTGCACGGGTTTTTCTGGTTGAATTGCCATGGAAAAGTCAAATTCAAATTATGCATGTACTATCACCACAGTTTTATGTGTTTAAATGGAACGGGTGCACAATTATAGGGATGCCCATGGAGGTAGTGTAATGGAGCAAATGAAGGTGACACGAGCAGGAAGGGTTGTACACACTCCCGCCAGGTGAAGGGACTGCCTGTGGAGAGGGATTGTGACAGCAGGCGTGTTTCACTGAATTGGTGAGGCTGTGGTGACAGCAGGGAGAGAGAGTGCCAGGATCAAAGCAGTGCGAAGTGAGAGAGTGCCAATATGGAGTTTGGCAGAAGTGATGTGTAGGTGAGATTGAGATAGATGAAGATTCAAGTCACCATGTGGATGTGGAGAGGACTGCAAATTGTGAAATATTCAAAGGGTCCAGAGGTCGAGTGGACAAGGTGGAGAGTTTTGAGTCCGAGTGTTGACCAGGAGTTATATGCTACAAGTTAAGTATTTCCATGATACTGTATTATTTTTCTGAGGTTATTTCTGGAGTTCTAATACACTCACCCTACAATGAAGAAGGTTGATTCGTCCATGTATGTTCGTGCGTGCATGTATGAGTGAGTGTGAGAGAATGTCTACGTGACAGAGTGGTAGTGTACCACATGTATATATATATATACATGCAACCTAAAATTACCATTACAATGTTCAATATAAATTTATTGATTATACTGCTGTTATGCCACCTACATGCCGATTCTGTGCCTACCGTGGTCAGCATGTTGCCTACAGTACAGTGTTCACATCATGATTGTCGACCAAATAATTAACCACATACTGAACAACTGCATTCTATGCCCACATTTCGGCTGACTGGACAGTATTAGTCGTGGTGCTCCCGAAACTATCACATGGCTCACCAAACGTAAACCTCGATGTATAATTTACACAAACTTGCCAGACTCGCAGAACATGGTTGTCAACTGGCACACTCTGTCTGAATCACGTGTTTATAGTGGCATCAATGAGGTTGGAATGTAACCCCAAATATTTGAAGCACTCCGTTTGTTAAATTATATTGTTTCTGATATCCGCAAAAGGTGAAGGGAATTAAACTTAATTTTGCTTGAAGAAGAGAGCATGATCTTTGTTTTCTTGGGATTTTGAGAAATTTTAGTAATGATATTTGGTGTTGTTTCTGGAGACATCACAGTCAGTTAAGACTTTACCTGGTTAATAACGTCTTCTAATGATTGCTCAGTTTGTACCCATCTTCTGCATTATACGGCCACACACTCCACTATCCAGCGACACACTCCACTATACCCCAATATCCGGTCCCAAAGTAAATTAAATAATTGTTTTCTCCTTGGATACTTTTAATTGGTTTCCTGTATTCTTCTCGTAAAATTAAGGCTGTGAGCAAAGACAAAATTTAATCTGACCCTTACATAAGACCTGAACAATTGTAAACAGCTGTCAGCGCACTGTGTTAAACAGGACTGAGTGAGTTATTTACAACAAATGCGGAACAATAAACACGAGATTCTTTGCATGGTCATGCAAAACTCAAAATTGTGACAAACTGTAAGTCTGAAGCATATTCCTTGAAACTTGACACGTATGGGGTAGTGGTGGGGGCAATGGAAAGGGGGGAGTTTGCCAAAACACGAATGAGTAATGGTGGGTAGGGACAGTTGCTTCGAGCAATATGAGATGAGCTATAGTTAAACATCTTTTGTGAAGACTTACAAATTGCAAAATACGTACTTCACAATTACACAATCTGAAATAGGCATTGCATGGCATAATTCATGCTCCACGGAATGTGTATTCATGTATTTATCACCCGATTCATGTATTCATGGTTATATCCAGGTGGAGAATGCGAAGGTGATAACGAGGCTCCAATACCTTGAGGTAAAACACATGCTTCACAACCCACATTTAACATATACAAATGGTGGTTAGATATTTGCATGCCAACGTATGCATTTATATGAAGATGTATGTAAATTTGAGGACTGCAGCCATTGCTGCAAATTCTTCACCGACCACCACCTGATCTGATCTCAATGGATTTTGCATTCTGTTGTTTGCAGATTTTAACATTATAAGAAATGCCCCGTTATATTCTGTTATAGACGTCCTTGCTATTATTCAGTTGTTTGGTCTTAGGCAACATGTTAAAGCCTCAAATTATATTGCTGGACATACTCTGGAATGTGTGCAACGTTGGATTCCCAGTTCAGTAACCTTTCTATTATTTATACAGATGTATTTATTTTGATTTGAAGCTTTCGCGACAGCAGGGATCCATATTCTTTGGTTCTTTCGGTAAAGTCACGTAATTAGTATAGCCTGATGACAACCGCTTGTGTTGCGATCGAAACGTCGTGATTTGTTTTATTTTATTTTATTTCTAACTACGTGACTTTACCGAAAGAACACACGAGTATAGATGTATCTGATCACTGTGCAGTAATAGCCAAAATGCCTTTACCTTGCTCAATCTATTCCCGTCAATGGCAGATGTCTCACCGTATGCTAAACTCCATTACTTATTTATCAATTACTGAGGCCTTTGCTCTTTCGTGCCTCTTTAAAGAGACTGCTTTGATATATAATGCCACTCTTGTGCACGTTTAAATCACGTAGCTGATGGCATTTTGAAGAGCTATGGACATTTAAATCAATGTTTCGCAAATCTGAGTGGGTCTGGAGAAAGTCAGGTTTAATAATTTAGCGACAATTCTTTAAAACATCACTCCCGATAGACAACGATGTCATCTCTCAAGCGCCATCTGTAAATTTTGCCCGCCTAATTACCACCAGAAAGTTTATTTATACAGTTATATTAGCCAGTTTGAATTACCTTCTGAATCCAGGCCAGTGGCTTTATTATATAATCTCTACTGACCATTGCAATTCATTCAAACAGTTTTTTTTCTCGTCAAAAAATCTCCATTGGCTCTTGGGCATTGTCAGATTTGCACGCACCTCATTGAAAGGGCACCACAATGTCTTTCCACTAGATTCGAAGCTTTCGTGACTGCATGAATTACTCTTTTGTTCTTTTGATAAAGTGACGTAAAAATAAAATGAAATAATAATATAATACGACGTTTCTATTGCAACACAAGCAATAGTCATCTGAAAACAAACTTAGTTTTCTCATTCATTCGTACCTGATGACGATTGCTTGTGTTGCAATCGAAACGTCGTATTGTATTGTTATTTTATTTTATTTCTATGTGACTTTACCAAAAGAACCAAAGAGTAATTTCTTTCCAAATTTAAATCTCTTATATTTTTCTAAATACTTGAGGGTACAGTGGCAACACTGTTTTATGAATGTTTTTCTTTTATCTACTTGCTTGATCCATTTCAGTCAGGTTTTAGACCAGAGCTCAGCACAGAGACTGGTGAGGGTTGTCAATGATTAACTGTCTGGAAACAAAGGTTTTCCAAGCATTTTCCTTCTTGATATTAGCGCAGCTTTTCGTAAAACTAGCATTTTACACAATTAGTGGAAACTCATGATAGAGGCCTCAGACATGGCCTTGCAATGGTTTCACTCCTTTTTGCAAACCGTGTCACTATGGCCAGTTTTAAGATCTTGACTGAGCCCACTTTATTCAGAGTGTACATGGCCCCGCTTGGAGCCTTTCTCAAACACCAAAGGCTATATTAAAATTGGTACACACACGACACACTATTCTGTGCTCAACTGTCGTTAGATTGGGTGTCTCTTCTTCATTCATCTCTAAAATTTTATTTTAATATATTCATTGTCCGATTCATGTTTCCATGGTTATATCCAGGCTGAGCGTGAGAAGGCTGAAAAGAAGGCAAACAAATCTGAGGTAAAACCCACACTTCACTACCCAGTCAGCGACATTTATTTTCTTGATGCAGGTCAATCTGATAACTGTGCAGTAATTATTATTAGTGCATTGATATTTGCATGCCAACATATGCATATCATTGAAGATGTATGGAGATTGCAGGACTGTGCAGGCATTGTGGCTAATTCTGCTCTACCATAGTCCTAAACCTACGATCACCTGATCTGCTCTCAGTGGATTCCTTCTGCATTCTATTGTTTGTAAATGTCCCATTACATTATTCAGTTACATACTTATTTGGCATTCTTCAGTTATTTGGTCTCACGCAGCATGTTCAAGTCCCTACTCATTCTTTCGGACATATTCTGGAATAAATGTGCTCCAATGGCGTCACAGTCAGTGACCTTTTTATTATCTATGAAGGCCCTTCTGATCACTGCGCAGTGATCTTTACGATGCCCATATCTTGCTCAACTCCATGACTTACCAATAACTAAAACCCTTACCATTTTCTGCCTCTTTAAGGACACTACTTTGTTGTACAATGCCACTTTTTTACACGTTTTAATCACTTACCTCCTCTCAATATTTAACCGGTTTTTACCTATAAGCTCTCCCCATGCCAAATTAATGGTTCGTAAATCTGAGCGGGTCGGGAGAAAGTCAGGCTTCATCATTTAGCGACATATTTTTAAGACATCACTACCCAACGAGAAATGGTGTCATCTCTCCAGCGATAGCTGTTCATTTTGTGCTCCTAATTACCACCAGAAAGGGTATTCTTAAAATTGTATTTAATAGATTTAATCATCTTCTGAATCCAGGGGATCAGCTTGATTATGTAACCTCGACTGACAATTTCAATTCATTCCAACAGTTTTTTTTGTCATAAAATAATCTCCACTGGCTCGTCATGATTGTCAACACCAATGGTTCTGAAACCTCCAGATATCCACCACCTCTTTGAAAGGGCACCACAATTTATTTCCAATTTGAAATTTCCTATATTTTATAAAATACTTGAACATACTGTGGCCACGCTGTTTTATCCACGTTTTTCATTAAACAACTTGCTTGATCAATTTTAGTCAGGTTTTAGACCAGGGTACAGCAATGACACAGCTCTGGTAAGGGCTGTCAATTATTTGCAGTCTGCAAACAAAGGCTTTCCAAGCATTCTCCTTCTGGATCTTAACACATGGCTTAACCATATGTTTTCGAAATCACCAAAATAAAGCTATAAAAACAATGTAACAACTGTAATCATAGGAACTGTGATTCAAATTTTACAATAAACGATATACATAACATGTACGACCAAACTTGCAGCCACAGCTGGCAGCATGACACTCCCAGTGTATAATGTGTTGGTGAGTCAGTGGTAGTGTGAGTGAGTGTATGATGTGTGAGTCAGCATATGATGAGTGAGTCAGCATATGATGAGTGAGTCAGCATATGTTGAGTGAATCAGTGTATGATGAGTGAATGGGTCAGTGGTTGTGTGAGTGAGTGAGTGTATGATGTGTGAGTGAGTCAGCGTATGATGAGTGAGTCAGTGTATGATGTGTGAGCGAGTCAAAGTAAGATGAGTGAGTGTATCACGGCCTCCTCCACACCATCACGGCCTCCTCCACACCATCACGGCCTCCTCCACACCATCACGGCCTCCTCCACACCATCACGGCCTCCTCCACACCATCACGGCCTCCTCCACACCATCACGGCCTCCTCCACATCATCACGGCCCATCATCACGGCCTCCTCTCCGCCATCACGGCCTCCTCCACACCATCACGGCCTCCTCCACACCATCACGGCCTCCTCCACACCATCACGGCCTCCTCCACACCATCACGGCCTCCTCCACACCATCACGGCCTCCTCCACACCATCACGGCCTCCTCCACATCATCACGGCCCATCATCACGGCCTCCTCTCCGCCATCACGGCCTCCTCCACACCATCACGGCCTCCTCCACACCATCACGGCCTCCTCCACATCATCACGGCCTCCTCTCCGCCATCACGGCCTCCGCCCTGCCATCACGGCATCCTCCACATCATCACGGCCTCCTCCACATCATCACGGCCTCCTCCCAGCCATCACGGCCTCCTCCACACCATCACGGCCTCCTCCACACCATCACGGCCTCCGCCCTGCCATCACGGCCTCCTCCACATCACGGCCTCCTCTCCGCCATCACGGCCTCCTCCCAGCCATCACGGCCTCCTCCACATCATCACGGCTTCCTCCACGCCATCACGGCCTCCTCCACATCATCACGGCCTCCTCCACGCCATCACGGCCTCCTCCACATCATCACGGCTTCCTCCACATCATCACGGCCTCCTCCCCACCATCACGGCCTCCTCCACATCATCACGGCCTCCTCCACGCCATCACGGCCTCCGCCCCGCCATCACGGCCTCCTCCACATCATCACGGCCTCCTCCACATCATCACGGCCTCCTCCACATCATCACGGCCTCCTCCACGCCATCACGGCCTCCGCCCCGCCATCACGGCCTCCTCCACATCATCACGGCCTCCTCCACATCATCACGGCCTCCTCCACATCATCACGGCCTCCTCCACGCCATCACGGCCTCCGCCCCGCCATCACGGCCTCTTCCACATCATCACGGCCTCCTCCACATCATCACGGCCTTCTCCACATCATCACGGCCTCCTCCACATCATCACGGCCTCCTCCACACCAACACGGCCTCCTCCACACCATCACGGCCTCCTCCACACCATCACGGCCTCCACCACACCATCACGGCCTCCTCCACACCATCACGGCCTCCTCCACATCATCACGGCCTCCTCCACACCATCACGGCCTCCTCCACACCATCACGGCCTCCTCCACACCATCACGGCCTCCTCCACACCATCACGGCCTCCTCCACACCATCACGGCCTCCTCTACACCATCACGGCCTCCTCCACACCATCACGGCCTCCTCCACACCATCACGGCCTCCTCCACACCATCACGGCCTCCTCCACACCATCACGGCCTCCTCCACACCATCACGGCCTCCTCCACATCATCACGGCCTCCTCCACACCATCACGGCCTCCTCCACGCCATCACGGCCTCCTCCACGCCATCACGACCTCCTCCACGCCATCACGGCCTCCTCCACGCCATCACGGCCTCCTCCACACCATCACGGCCTCCTCCACACCATCACGGCCTCCTCCACACCATCACGGCCTCCTCCATGCCATCACGACCTCCTCCACGCCATCACGGCCTCCTCCCAGCCATCACGGCCTCCTCCACATCATCACGGCCTCCTCCACATCATCACGGCCTCCTCCCCGCCATCACGGCCTCCTCCACATCATCACGGCCTCCTCCACGCCATCACGGCCTCCGCCCCGCCATCACGGCCTCCTCCACATCATCACGGCCTCCTCCACATCATCACGGCCTCCTCCACATCATCACGGCCTCCTCCACGCCATCACGGCCTCCGCCCCGCCATCACGGCCTCCTCCACATCATCACGGCCTCCTCCACATCATCACGGACTCCTCCACATCATCACGGCCTCCTCCACATCATCACGGCCTCCTCCACATCATCACGGCCTCCTCCACATCATCACGGCCTCCTCCCCGCCATCACGGCCTCCTCCACATCATCACGGCCTCCTCCACGCCATCACGGCCTCCGCCCCGCCATCACGGCCTCCTCCACATCATCACGGCCTCCTCCACACCATCACGGCCTCCTCCACGCCATCACGGCCTCCGCCCCGCCATCACGGCCTCCTCCACATCATCACGGCCTCTTCTCCGCCATCACGGCCTCCTCCCAGCCATCACAGCTTCCTCCACATCATCACGGCCTCCTCCACACCATCACGGCCTCCTCCACACCATCACGGCCTCCTCCACACCATCACGGCCTCCTCCACACCATCACGGCCTCCTCCACACCATCACGGCCTCCTCCACACCATCACGGCCTCCTCCACACCATCACGGCCTCCTCCACACCATCACGGCCTCCTCCACACCATCACGGCCTCCTCCACACCATCACGGCCTCCTCCACACCATCACGGCCTCCTCCACACCATCACGGCCTCCTCCACACCATCACGGCCTCCTCCACACCATCACGGTCTCCTCCACACCATCACGGCCTCCTCCACACCATCACGGCCTCCTCCACACCATCACGGCCTCCTCCACATCATCACGGCCTCCTCCACACCATCACGGCCTCCTCCACTCCATCACGGCCTCCTCCACACCATCACGGCCTCCTCCACATCATCACGGTCTCCTCCACACCATCACGGCCTCCTCCACACCATCACGGCCTCCTCCACACCATCACGGCCTCCTCCACATCATCACGGCCTCCTCCACGCCATCACGGCCTCCTCCACACCGTCACGGCCTCCTCCACACCATCACGGCCTCCTCCACGCCATCACGACCTCCTCCACGCCATCACGGCCTCCTCCACGCCATCACGGCCTCCTCCACACCATCACGGCTTCCTCCACACCATCACGGCCTCCTCCACACCATCACGGCCTCCTCCACGCCATCACGACCTCCTCCACGCCATCACGGCCATCCTCCCCACAATCACGGCCTCCTCCACACCGTCACGGCCTCCTCCACGCCATCACGACCTCCTCCACGCCATCACGACCTCCTCCACGCCATCACGGCCATCCTCCCGCCATCACGGCCTCCTCCACATCATCACGGCCTCCTCCACGCCATCACGGCCTCCGCCCCGCCATCACGGCCTCCTCCACATCATCACGGCCTCCTCCACATCATCACGGCCTCCTCCACATCATCACGGCCTCCTCCACGCCATCACGGCCTCCGCCCCGCCATCACGGCCTCCTCCACATCATCACGGCCTCCTCCACATCATCACGGACTCCTCCACATCATCACGGCCTCCTCCACATCATCACGGCCTCCTCCACATCATCACGGCCTCCTCCACATCATCACGGCTTCCTCCA